CCGAATTTTTTTGGGTCGCAGGTTGGTAGTAGGTACATCTGGTTCAGGGTCTGTACGCGCTGTGCTCTAGAAACTCAGTACTGGGTTAGCAAAAAGACTGAATTTTTCATGATCCCTAAATTCGTACTCTGAAGTGATCAGGATTGGTAAAATGGGTAATCTGATTATTCAGGTTTGGCCAACATTAGGGTATGAAATTTTAGACTAATCAGACTAAATATTATGATAACGTCAGCCCTGGTCCTCCCCCAAATCCATTTTCTGGCCCTGCTGCTTGGCGGGGTCTTGCGAAGTGAAAATGACAGGGGTTGGCACCCTGAAAAGTACTGTATTCTCCCGGACAAAAGACCCTAGGACTTTAGGAAAATGCAGGGAAAAAAGCTAGGTTGGACATTATCGAGGCTGGAAATAGGTAAGACCCTTACTCATCTATTTTACACGATACGGAACTCAATTTCTAGTTGTACAGAGTCTGTTGCTAGCTACTAAGAGGGCTCTATTGATCTCGCAAAGGAGCATCTCTATTGATCTGAATGTGCCGCGCGTCAGTGAAATATCAGACCATGTTTTAATATTCTCCGTTTCCCTGTGGAAAGAAAACAGAAACTAAGAAGGTGGGTCTTAAAATCGAAAGAATTTGAAAAGGGGTGCAGGAGACTAAGTTTAGAACCCGCAGTTACAAGTACTTGAAGTAGAAAGTAATACTGGAAGTACCTCTAGTAACAGCCAGTATTAACAAGTTGTAACACCAGAATCAGTGTTACACCCTTGTGATACTTCAAGACTTTGAACAAGGATCTTTGCTGGAATGGTAGACTAGTAAGACAGCGGAAGTCTTAGAACTTGTAAGTGTTGACCAGAGTTTACTCAAGAACAAGTTAATAATTGAAGTCATACAAGCTACTCTTATATTTGCTAGAAGTACATGTTCGGTAATGTATCTGTTCAAAACTATTGGCGCTATGCGCTCTAATCGCTACTGAGAAGAGCGCGACTGTTCGCGTTACTAAAACGGCCTGCTGACGTAACCATCCAGACGAGCGCTATTTGCTGACGTCATTCTACGGATGCAAAATACAGCGTGACTCAACAATATCTATCGGAACTACTTACAGAAATGCTTGAGTACGAATTTATCACAACAAAAATGGCAATTAGTAAATAGCGGGTCCTCACGGATTCTGCCAAAATAAATTATCGACATCCGCCTAAGCGACCCATGCACTCTCTCACCGACGGGTCTTTTGTCCGGGAGAATACGGTACGTGCAAGCACATCTCACGAGTAGTGGTCCGACACATTTCAGTATTTTTGGGCCGGAGACCGGTTCGGTTGGATGACGAGGCTCGCTATTTTTGCCTAGGCAAATGCGTTTGTCACCATCGTTCCTACCGTATTCCCCCGTATATAAGACCCTAGGATATTGTCAAAATTTCATTAAAAAAACGTAAGGGTGTTAAGAGTAGGCTGGAAAAATATAACGCCCATGTCTTATGTAAAATGCAAAATGAATTTGGGTTGTAACAGGCTCTATGAGAAGCATGAAACACAATGTAGCTTTTAGCGAGGTTCGGATGACAGCCACGCACCTCCACTAGGACCAGCCTGTCACTTATGTGTTGGCATTCTGTATTTGTGGCCAATCGGAGTCAGCCGCACCTGCAAACACGATAGGGAAGCAGCCTCATGCTGCTGACAGAGATTCATCGACGGCCAGGGGGCCATTATAGTGCCAGCCTGACATCGACGTGCCAAAGTGCTTGACCAGATTCCTTTAGGGAATCTGGTAGATGGGACCAGCATGCAGTGTCCCATCGCGTTTTCCAAGACCGTGCACGACTCGGCTTTGGGGGTCGGCCACGGTTCTTCTCCAACCTCTTCTTGCCGCATCGTCATTTTTGCTTTTCGATCGGCTCGCTCACTCTCAAAACCTGTCGCAGTGCCCGGGCTCTCTAACAGAGGCTCGGGCATTGGTCAATGTTGCTTAGCACCGATACCTTTTCGTCTAGCATTCGATCCATGGCCGCTCAAGCAGTTAGTGGTGTTGCCTTGTTGCGACCTCATCGCCCTCAGTTTGGGAACCAGACTTTGCTAAGGCCGTTCCCACCAGTTCCACCGTCTCCAAGAACTTTTACGACAGCTCCCGCACCTCCTGCTCCACCTGCCCCGCCCGCACCACCTGCGCCACCTGCTCCTCCTGCCCCACCGGCGCCGCCCGCTCCTCCTGCTCCACCTGGTCATTGGTCGCCAATAGCCACTCGTCCCCCGGAGTGGGACAACGCGTGGCAAGATGACGATGACGAGCTCTACTGGGAGGAGGCCGCCGACGGCGAGCCTGAACCTCCCCGCCCGCTTCCTCGCGTTGTCGTTCCCCATTTCCCACAAGCACAACGTCGTCCTACCATGCCCAGGGTTAACCGTGATGCTGCACCTCCCTCCCCCAGGGTTCGCAGGACAAATCGAAAGTGAGTCGCGCGGACGGCTACCGAGAAGCTCTACTGGCTGGCGAGGATGGAGGCTGATCCGGATTTGTCCAAGCGCTCTCTCGCTCGCATGGCTGGAGTGCAACCGTGCCAGATTCATGACTGGAAGTGAAACAAGGCTCGCCTCACTGCTGCTGCTGGTTGCAGACGTCGTCTCATCGGCTCCGGAAGAAAGTCGAAGTACCCGACGATGGAGCGAGAGATTTACAAGAAGTTCCTTGGACACCGCGCGCGTGGGCTAGCTGTCTCGATCAGCACGCTGCAGAAATGGAGCTGGAAGTACATGAGGAAGCACCACCCCGGCGTCGACTGGCGTGCCTCCTCGCGCTGGACGTTCCGGTTCCGCGCCCGCTGGGGATTGACGAAGCGCGTGAAGACAAAGATGGGCCAACGCATGACCGCCGGTTAGCTGTCGTCGGTGTATCTCGTGGTCTTTCCCCTCTTGCCACTCTATTTCCATGTTGCGTTGAAGTGACACCTGTTACAGTCGACTGAGTTGCTTCCTGGCCGTTTATTAATGATGCTTTGTTTTCTTGTATCCTGTCTTTTTGCACTGGCAGACTGTGAAGCCAAGGTTGAGAAATTCTGGGAGTTCGTTCGGCAACTCCGCATGCTGAACGAGTACCCCGACGACCTGATTATCAACGCCGATCAGACGCCACTCTTCCTGGAGATGCCGCAGGAAACCACCCTCGAGGTCCGCGGTTCAAAAACAGTTCATGTGCGGACGGCCGGGTACGAGAAGGAGAGATTGACCGTCATGCTGGCAGTCACAGCAAGCGGCAAAAAACTAAAGCCGTATGTCATCTTCAAGCGGAAAACTCTGCCGCGCATCCGAGTCCCACCAGGTAATAATAATTTGTAACTATTTACGGTTGCGTTTAGTAAATATTCTTTCACCAAGATAACGACGACCACTAATTATCTCGCTTTATTTGCATGTGCAGGGATTGTCATCAAAGCCCAGGAGAAGGGCTGGATGGACGAGGCGCACGTGAAGGATTGGGTCACCACCGTCCTCGTGCCATTCCTGCGCACCATCCCTGCGAGGCGTGGTGGCCGTCAGAAGGCGCTGGTGGTCCTCGACTCATACAAGGGACACCTCACTGAGGGAGTGTCTCAGTTGATGCGCCTGTTCAAGCTCTCCCGTGCAGTCATTCCCGGCGGATGCACGCCTATCGTACAGCCTTTGGACGTGGCAGTCAACCGTTGCGTCAAGGCGCACGTTCGTCGATCATACAGCGAGTGGTTCGAAGAGTTCGGCTGCGAGTCGACCACTACAGCTGGCGAGCACATGTTTTGTTGTCGACGTGTTTTCTGTGATTAGTCTTTTGTCGTGTGATTCACATAGCTTGCGTTTGCCCCGTTATTTACTCAAGACTAACTATCATGCCCTGTCTGTTTCTGCCTGGCAGGGAACCTGCGCAAACCACCGGCCGAGCTTGTGTTGCAGTGGATTGCTGACGCATGGGCTGCGGTGCCGGCAGAACTCATCCGCCGCGCGTTCAAGACGTGCGGCATCTCCAACGCGACCGACGGCACAGAGGACGAGGTGATTCTTGCCCACATGCGGGACGACGCGGAGGTTGAGGTAATGGACGATGTGCACGCCGAAATGGAGGAGACTGGGGCGCAGAATCCCTTCTACGACGTGGAGTACATCGAGCCCAGCGCTGCGCCAGACGTGGAGGACGACAAGCCAGATGTGGAGACCGACATTGATGCTGCGGCTTCTGCCACATCCTCTGGAACGCCGCAGGCGGATGTCGAAGGAGCAACAGCAGCAGCAGCAGCAGCAGCAGACTCGTCCTTGGACACGGCAGCATGTGCAACAGCAAAAGCCTCAGCAACAGCAGCAACAGGAGCAGAGGTCCCTGCTGGCGAAGATGACGGAGAGATGCCGGCGGCGGAGGTTCTTGCTGGCCTAGCTGCGTCCCGCTGGACTGATGATTTCGACTGGGATGATATTGCCTCCGACGATGAAGATGCCGAGGTGTGGCATGCTGGAGAGGAATACTATGAGGAGGAGGAGGATTGATAGTAGAGACGTAAATATTGACTAGAATTGATGTCATATTGTAGACGCAGTAGAGTACGCCATGTGGTAGGTGTAGCTAGCATTGGTAGATAAGCTCTGAGTAATTTGCTGCAACTCATGCTCTAACAATATGAAAAAACGAGGATTTAACTTTAAAAAACGCTGGAGGGTGTTATGTACAATGCAAGGTCTAAAAAACGGGTGCTCTCATAAAATGTACCGTATCATAAGCTATGACCTGCATATGCCACCCATGGAGTGACTATTTCGGCGGGTGTTATATACGGGGGAATACGGTATCTTACCTCGCTAACGTACACCCCCCCGAAAAATACAGGTGGAAGTGGCTGATCTGGGGGAACTTCGGCAATCGAGAAAACGTACCTACGCCATTTCAGCCGAAACTGGGCTGGCTGGATTCGTCATGAAACACAGAATCCCAAATTAAAACATCAGGGTGCTACATGTTAGAAAGAGAGAATGATTGACTAGTGTGAGAAACCTAGAACATGTACCTGTTGGGTTGTACTCACTAGAAGCACACACCTAGGCTAGCCTATAACTTCTACATACAGCATATGTATAAGTTGACACTACAGCCTAAAACGCACTGTACAGCACCCACCCGCCCATATTTTGCCTAAATTTTGTATACCAGGGGTGTTATATCCGGGGGATTACGGTTCTACTGTAGCTTACTACTAATACGGTAAATAGAATGAACTACTTGATTGATTTCCAGAGAAATTTCCAAGCTGGAGGTTTCTCTATGGATCGCTTCTGAGCATCCATGCTTTTCACAAGAGAAGAGGCAGTTATCATCTCTTGGGCTTGCTTGTCCACCTTTATTGCCGCACTCAGCTCCTCTCTTCCCACCACCTCATTCCTGACAGCAAGTAGCTCTTTAGCAACATCTGCCAAGCTTGGGCGACTAGCAGTGCGCTCCACAGTGCAGCTGAGAGCTAGCTGAGCCAAGCGCAGCACAGCATCATCAGGGGCTTCCATGCCGAGGTCCTTGAGGCGGGTCGGGCTGTTGGACGCCAGGCAGGCCTCCACCTGAAGGATGGCACACGGTGGGTACAATGGGGGTTATTGACAAGGGGCGTCCAGTCAGGTCTCCACCTGAAGGATGGCACACGGTGGGTACAATGGGGGTAATTGACAAGGGGCGTCCAGGCAGGTCTCCACCTGAAGGATGGCACACGGTGGGTACAATGGGGGTAATTGACAAGGGGCGTCCAGGCAGGTCTCCACCTGAAGGATGGCAAAGGGCGGGGTTAGCAACATGGTGAAGGGAGCATGCAAGATTGTCAGGTGAATAAGACACAGCATGTGGCTGATCACTACCCATGTTGAGATGGGAGTTATCCATATCATCCTGTGCAATGGTGCCTCAGCCACGGTTAAAAAATACGCCTTAAAAAAATAAAAAAATCCCGTATAAAACGGTATCGAATTAAACGGCCGTTTAATACGAAAAAAACAGTGAAAATTGTGCAAAAATAAGTTGGTTAAAAATACGGCCGAGTTTTTTAAATAATGTGCAAAACAATCCGAAGAAATGCGCAGATCTGGCATTTCACCTGCCGAAATGCACGGATATGGCATTTTGCCTGCCAAAAAGTGCCAGATCTTGCGTTTTTAGTGGACGAAATGCATGGATCTGACGTTTTGTCAGCCGAAATACGCAGATCTGACATTTCGCCCGTCGAAATGCGCGGATCTCGCATTTGGGCGGACAAAAGGCACGGATCTGGCAGACGATTAGGCTGTCTACCAAATAATAATTTTTATTTTTTTGAGATGCTCTATTTTAAAAACGACTTTTTTTCCCCAAAATCCCCGAAAAAAACGGTCGAATAATACGGACCGTATTTTTCGAAAACCGTATTTTTGAACCTTGGCCTCGCAATGGCACATGCAATAGAGGTGCCAGGTGCAATACGTGTGCCACCTGCAATAGAGGTGCCACATGCAATACATGTGCCACCTGCAATAAAGGTACCACATGCAATGGAGGTGCTATGAGCAACGGTGGTGCCATGTGCATGCCACGAAACAAACGCTTACCCATGGCAGGATGTGGTCTTCCTTTCCATCATCCAAGTAAAGCGGGCGGCTCCGTCCGGTGAGGACCACAAGCATGAGCACACCGAAGCTGCACAGAGGGCAAGCCATTGTGAGCATCCAGGGTGGTGCTCTTGCACAGAAAGGTTGAGTTTTCACTTGTTGAGAAACCCCGGTCACTGGTTGAGAAGGTCATGATTTCAGAGCAGATGGGATAGTAATCACCTGTAAGCATCAGTTGCACTTGTGGCCTTTGACGTCCGAAAGTAGATGGGATCCACATAGCCCGGTGTTCCCATGACTCGAGTAGTGCCGACAGTCGAGCCCTCGTCCCCCCTCACAAGCCCAAAGTCTGCAATCTTTGCCTAGTGGGATGGCATAACGACAATAACAAGGGCAAGCCAGATCGAGAAGAAAATGGAGGATTTGGTTGTAGCCAAGCACACCTAGGAATGAAATGTATGGTTTGACTTCCACATGAAAAGTGCCATAGATCGCCACAGACGGTGGTCAATATTATAATCTTACAGATTCCACACTTGTGTTTAGGCATTCACTTGGTTTAACTACAGCTCTACTCTAGACATGGTCACGGAATGAGCCGAGCTGGCTCGTGACGAGCGAAGGAAAAGCCGAGCCAATCCGGGCCGAGCCGAGCCAATCCGGGCCGCAAAATGGACAAGACGGGCCCTTGAGCTACCAAACGGCCCATGAGCCGCCTGGCCCATGAACCACCGAGCGGCTCGCCAGATCCGCGCAGCGGGCATTTCACATTCACCTGCCAGTTCCGCTCAAATGGTGACGAGCCGCGCATTGGCTGGTCGAGGAGACATGCAGCTCGTCGCTCGGCTTGTCCTGTCGCGGAAAGGCACGACAAGCCAGGATGAGCGTTCGACTTGTCCGAGCCAGCCCAAATCGACCCTTCATGAGCCAGGGCCCAAGAAAACCCGGCTCGGCTCGTGAGAAGCCAAGCAGCGCCTCATCCCGTGACCACGTCCACCCTACTCCGTTTGAAAGACTTGACTCTAGATAGTGATAAACATAGTGATCAGCATACCCTACACAAAGCTTTAGGCTTACCCTTGCATGATATCAACATGGTGAACACATGCACAAAGCTTGCCTGCATGTTTGACCCAAGGAGGATGTTGGCGGGCTTGATGTCGCGATGCACAAGGCCAAAGCTGTGGAGGTACTCCAAGCCACGTGAAGCACCAATGAGGATGTCCAGTTGCTGCTTTAGGCTTAGATGAAAGGGTGCTTCTGCATAGAAACACAACACGATTGCCACAACGACAGTTATATTTTTTTCCATAGAAAGAAACAAAGGACAACACGGCCTTTGGACGGATACATACGTGTACTGATCCACTTCTCAAGGTCACCGTTCGGAACAAACTCGTAAATCAAGACTTGCTCTGGCCGTGTCCTCATGTCCCCTCCAAGAGCAAACCCGAGTAGCCGAACAATGTTGGGATGGTTCTTGCCTGCCATTTGTCGGACCTGGGAGAGCAACATGTCATAGTGGGATGCATTGAACTACCTGCAATAATAGTTTGGATTGAAAGGCATGCCATATAGATGGGTTGAGAAATTTCATACGAATGGATTGAGAGGCCGAGCTACAATATACAACAGACACGGGCATGAGCCGAGCCTGGCTCGGCTCGGCTCGTTTGGGGTCGAGCCGAGCCGGCTCGCCGGTCGAGCCGGCTCGGCTCGCCTCGAGCCGGGTCCTCAGGATCCCCAGCTCGGCTCGGCTCGCCAGGGGGGCTTGTGCGGGCTCTCAATTGGGGCCACGGGGTTTGGGGTCTCTAGTATAGGGGACAATGTATATTACTTAGCTGATCGTCTGCTCCTACATCTTACAAAACTATCAGGAGGAGCTGCCGGTTTAAATATGGCTGGCTGAGGTCGATAGACTAGCGCGACAGGGTGAGGTTGGGGTTGGCAGACAATATTGGCGGGGGGGGGTTGTCGATCTGAAATTTGACAGTCGCGAAACCCCCCTTTCCCTAGCCGCGAGCCGGCTGGCTCGAAATCGAGCCAGCTCGAGCCGGCTCGACTCCGGCTCGCTTGATTTCACGTGCGCGAGTCGAGCTGAGCCGCCGGCTCGAGTCGAGCCGAGCCGCCTCGGCTCGAGTCAAGCCGGGTACCAAAAAAGAAGGCTCGGCTCGCCTTAAAGGCGAGCCGAGCCGAGCCGAGCCAGGTGTGGCTCGGCTTGTGCCCATGTCTAATATACAACGCGGATGTTTTCTTAAGTCGCTCGACTGCATTGGATTATGCATAGACATGGGCAAAAAAAATCGCATCGCATCGCATTTAATCGCGTTTTTGCGATGGCGATGTTTGTTTGTTTTTTTTTTTTTTTTTTTTAAATCATCGCGCGATGCGATGAATTAATATCTCGCGATTTAATTTAAATCGCATTTTAATCGCGTTAAAAAACGCGATTTAAATGCGATATGCGATTTTTAAAAAATCGCGCGCGATATTGCACTGAAACCCACTCTGAAACCCACTACGAAACCACACTGGTTATTTGCACTCTAGCTTACGACTGCCCGTGAGTCAATTTCCCCGCAGCCATGTTTTTTTTTCTGTTTTTTTGGGGTGTTTTTTAATTCTGTTTTAAAACGCGATGCGATTTAAAATCGCATTGCGCGATTTAATTAAATATCGCATGCAATTTTTTAATACATCGCGGGTCAAATGCGATTTGCGATTTTTTTTTTTGGGAAAATAAATCGCGCGATGCGATTTAAAATCGCATCGCTATTTTAAACATCGCACCTGCATGCGATGCGATTTAAATCGCAATCGCGTTTTGATCATGTCTAATTATGCAGAAGCCGAGATGGATAGCACGGTCAAAGCAAGCCACAGGTGCGTCATGTTCCTTGCATGTTCCTGATACTGTCAGAGTTATCTCACCTCTCTCTGGAAGTCAGCAACAAGCAATTTGGCTCGCTTGACGGCCCACAGGGTGGTGCCATCCCTTGGAGACACGCCCTTGTACACATCACCAAAGGTGCCAGATTTCAGCAGGTTGCCATCAGACCAGTTGCTCGTGGCTGCCATGACTTCCTCAAGGGAGTACTCGGTGCAGTGAGAGGCTGCTACGCTGCCAGCCAGGCCTGTCCATGGGATGAGATGAGGGGTAAACGTGCAGCACACTCGCATATACTTCAGGGTCCTAGGTGTGCAAATGGTGCAAAAATGATGTGGACATCCTTTATCTAAACTTGTCTTATATCGCTCGACTGGGATGAGAGAAACATGCATGGAGCAACAAATTCTTTCTTAACATCAGAATCTCCCAACATTTGGCCTATGCTGCTTTACTTCTGCAGCTGAGAAGTGCGGCATTTAAATGGCAGGGAAATTAAAACACAACGCTGATACCAAGTTGAGAAGTCGACAAAGAGGAGAGGGGGACGAGGGGGGAAGAGGAGGAAAAGAGATTGTAGGGAGGGAGGGGGTACGAATGGGGTTGTGGGGTGTTGGCGGGTGGACAGGACAGGGAGGAAGGTATGATGTTGAGCGTGGAGAGAGTGTAGGTGGCGGCTGGGGGAAGAGATCAAGGTGGAAATAGGGTGGCGAGAAGGGGGGAAAGGGCATGGACGGAAGGAGACAGAGAGGGGAGGAGGAGGGGAGAATTTGGGTGGGGAGGACGGAGAGGGGGAAAAAAGAAGAGGGGATGCATGAGAAGTGGGAGAGGGAGAAGGCGGGAGGCATGGAAATGAAGTAGGAGGATGGCAGCAGTAGTGACTGTTTGAATGATCCTCCATGCCCCTCAAATGCTATTCCCTTTGGCGCTGTTTGGGATCTTCAGCATCATCCATTTCACAAGGCATTTGACGTTCCGTGCACCACTGTTGGCCTGGATTTGTCGAGGCAATGGGAGTCCAACTTTGAGCAGATGGCCAAGCCGGCGGCTCTTCTTGTCGGCTAGGCTTGTGGATGAGCTGAACCGAGCATCCCGCTTAGGAGATTCGGCTCGTCTTCAGCCGAGCCGAGTGGGACTCGGCTCGTGGGCTAGAAGGACTCAGCATGAGCCCGTCGAGGCTCATTGACTACCAGCAGATGGGTTACACAAGCCACGCTCGGATCTGGTGGGCTTTCTTATGAGAGCCGACCTGGCTCACCCCGGCTTGTCTCTGTTACACAAGCCATGCGCCGGGGATTTAGACACGAGCAAAGCACGCGCTTGAGCAGGCATCACTGAGTAAACCCGGAGTAACAAACCCGAAGTCGGGTCGGGTACCCGCGACCCGACGGATAATAAATTACCCGTCATTTCGGGTAATTCTCGGGTAACGGGTATGCATTACCCGGCCCGAGTACCCGACCCGATCCGGCCGGGTAATTCGTCAAAATCCTATTACCCGACCCGGCCAAAATGTCTAGTCGGGTCGGGTACCCGCGACCCGACTGGGTAAAATGCTCAAGTCTACTCCACGGCCTCACCCCTCAGTACAACACGCGCGTCATCGCGTTCACTGAGAGCAACCCCCATGCCGACCTCGTCAGTGCCGTGCAATGGATCATTGACACAGAGGTAAAGCTCCTCCAGGAGCCCACCGCCACTCTCCACTCTGCCCAGCCTGCCTCCCCCGAACCCAACACCGACCCCAGCCGCTCCCGTGGTGGCCGCCCTCGTGGTGGCCGTGGAGGTGGCCGTGGTGCCGGCAGTGGCACTGGGGGAAGCGGTGGGACTGGCCCCAGTAGTGCCGCCGCTGGAGCGGCACCTGGCGGCCGTGGAGGCCGTCCTGGCACACTCCCTCCTTGCCTGTACCTTCGTCGCCACGGGCCCAAGGCTGATGAACGCTGTCTGCACACCAACCACCCCATCGACACCTGCTTCAAGGCACTCCATGATGCGTGGTTTGATTGCGGCAACACAGGCACCCCGCCCTGCTGGTCCTACATCACCCCTCGCTGATGTGAAGGCCCTACCTTCCTTCTTGCTAGTGCACCGCCAGCTTGCCGCCTCCTCCATCCCCTCTCCCTCGTCGCAGCAGCTGCTCCAGTTCCAGCAGTTCCAGCGGTTCCAGCAGCAGCAGGAGCAGGAGGAGGAGCAGCAGCAGGTGCAGGAGGAGCAGCAGCAGCAGCAGCAGCCGCCGTGGGGCGCCGGCAGCCAGGCGGCCGCAGCAGCAGCAGGTGCCGCCGCCGCCACTGCCGCCTGGCAGCAGCAGCAGCTCGGTCTCGGCTCCGCCGCCATCACCATCCATGCCTCCACCGGCCCCCCTGGCTACCCCCTCTGGGGATCTGTCCCCTCCGCTTCCCCTAGTGGCCATGCCACTCCCACTTCCAAGACTAGTTTCCTGGGTCATCTCACCAATGCATCTACTGCTCTGTCCTCAATGTATCCCTCTACCTTTAATGCAACAGATTTCCAGTATCCCGTGTCACTCACCTCATCCACCTCCTCCCTCTTGTCTCCCACTTTGGACTTCGTCCTTGACAGCGGCGCCATTGAGACGGCCCTCAAAGACGCTGGCACTCTTACCTCCCTTCCTTTCCCCACCAGTGTCCATGGCGCTGATTCGAGTTTCTCCATCCCTTGCACCCAACTTTCCACGCTCCCTTGACCTCCCTTCCCCTCTCGCACTGTAACTGGCATCCACATTCCCACCCTCCAAAACAATCTCCTCTCCCTCCGTGAGTTACAGCATGCCGGCATCACTGCCACGTTTTCTGCATTCGCCACGCACTGCAACCTCTTCCAAGGCTTCTCTAACCGCCTCCTTCGCCGTCTTCCTCTCTATCCCCGTACCCGCCAGTACAAACTCTGCGTTCCGTTTCCCTCCTCCTGCCACGCCACCACTCGCGCTGGCACTACCACCTCCCCTCCCCTCCCTCCCCCCTCGCCGCCCCTCCCCACCCCTGCTCCCTCTCCCTGCTCCTGCCATGCGCTCTCCCGTCCTGCTGTCCTTCTCCACCATCGCCTAGGCCATCCTAATTTTGCCACACTTCGCGCAGCAGTCTCCTCTCGCCTCCTCCACGGTCTCCCCCCTTCACTCCCTCATCTCCCCTCCTCTCCAACCCCCGCCTGCTCCTCTAGCTCCCCCATCACAGCCATCCCTCCTTTGCTGCCTCCCCCATTGATCTCGTTCACATGGATCTCTGTGGACCCAATCCCTCCCCCTCCCGCCACGGCCACAGGTACATGCTGGTTCTCGTGATGACCACAGTCGCTGCTTTTCAGTTTTCCTCCTCCATACGAAAACTGAGGCGGCCGCTGTCATCATGCGATGGGCTCAGCAAGCTCGTACCCACTTCGGCCGCCCTGTTCGCCGCTTCCACTCTGACGGCGGGGGGGAGTTCCTTAATCATACCCTCTCTTTCTAATACGCCACTCATGGCATCCAGTAGACCCACACTCTCCCCCATTCCCCCCAGCAGAATGCTGTTGCTGAGAGTCGCATTCGCGGAATCACAAAGACAGCTCGTTGCCTCCTCACCCGTGCCTCTCCCCCACCCTCCTTCTGGGGCTATGCCCTCATCCATGCCGCTCTCCTTACCAACCTTTACCCCCATCTCCAGCGCACCTCCTCCACTCCCACAGAGTTATGGGCCTCCTCCAAGCCCGACGCGGCAGTCCTCCTCGTCCACCTTGCTGACTGCTCGCGCTCGGTTGGCAAACTTGTCTCCAAGGACTGGAGTGCATTTATCTAGTGCACGCTCGCGACTCCCCCGGCAACCTCTTTCAACCCCTCCGCTCCCCCACATGAGGACTCCCACGCGGAGTTCATCGTCATTCAGCAGCATGCTCCACGCCTCCTCCCGCTCTACACGGGCTTCCTTGGCTTCCTGCTGCTCGGCGCGTCCTCCTTCCCCTCCATCTATGTCCCCACCGATTTTTTAGAAGCCATCACTGGCCCCGATCGTGACAAGTGGATTCCCGCTGTCTTCCGCGAGGTCGAGGCGTTCATTCGCAACAACTCGTTCGTTGACGTGATTCCTCCTCCCGGCGCTAACATCGTCGAAGGGAATGGGTCTACTAGGTGAAGCAGTTGCCTGGCGAGGAGCCGGTCTACAAGGCCTGCTACTGCGCCAAGGGATTCACCCAGACTTGGAGCGTCGACTATTGGGACACCTTCTCCCCGACAGCCAAACTCCCCACCATCCGGGCCCTCCTCGACTTTGCAGCTCGCATGTCCATGCTACATGGACGTCTTCAATGCGTTCCTGCAAGGTGAACTGCGCGAGAAAGTCCTCATGCGGCGACCCTCGGGATTTCATGCTGCCTTCCTGCCCAACTTCGTCTGGGAGCTTCTGCGCCCTGTGTATGGCTTGAAGCAGGCACCTCGCGAGTGGCATGCCAAATTGGCTGCCACCGTCCAGGCCATGGGCTTCCGTGCCGCCCACTCCGATGCCAGTCTCTTCCTCCGTGCCGCCCTCCGCCCGCTTCTTCATCCTCGTCTACGTGGATGACATGATCCCCATAGCCAATAAGGAAGCTGACATGGTGAAGGTCAAGGCCGAGCTTCAGACCCGCCTTCAGTGCAAGGACCTAGGCGCGCTGAAGAACTACCTCGACATGACCATCACACGCAACCTGGAGGCCCGCACCATCACGCTGTCCCAGTCGTTCTACATCAACCAGGTCCTGGAGCGGTTCACCATGGTGCAGGCCAAGCCGGTGTCCACCCCTCTGCCCGTTGGTCACCAGCTTGCGCCTTCCTACTCTCCCTCCGCCTCTAATCACCCCTATGCTGAGCTTGTCGGGTCCCTCATGTACGCCATGATGTGTACGTGCCCCGACCTCGCGTACCCCATAAGTGTCCTCGCCCGGTTCGTTGGTACCGGCCGCCACACCCCCGCACACTGGGCCGCTGCCAAGAGAGTCCTCCGCAATCTCCGAGGAACCAAGGAATATGTCCTCACCCTTGGCGGCACCTCCCCTCCTCTCCTCACTGGCTTCAAAACCTCCTCTTGGACCGATTCTCAACCCGACCGCCGCTCTTCCCAGGGCTATGGTTTCACCCCGGGCAGGGGCCTCATCAGCTGGCGTTCCACCCGCTAGTCCGCCGTCGCCCTCTCCTCGTGCGAGGCCGAGCTCTATGCCGGCACTATGGCCGCTCAGGAATCGCGCTGGCTGTGCTATCTCCTCGCCGAGCTCAGCGCTCCC